AAGTTATATACGAAAGTGATACGAAACGAAATCTAGAAAAATAGTACTTTTAATTTATTTTCTATAGCGTAGACAAACGATTCCTATGTTTAGTTGTGCATGTAACTTCATTTTTTTTTACTCACAAGAAGATTTTATATTTCGACGAAGGAAGACATTATGTTGTTCTAGTTATTCGTCTTCTTGTATTTGTTTTCTTCTAAACACACAATCTTTTTTCATTGTTTGACATTGGCTTATGAGTTTTGTGATGAAGTTGTATTACATATACCATGATACTATGTGAAGCATATCATCGTGACGTTAATTAGACCTTTTAAAACATTTGGTTGACCTTGAATTCTCTTTCGTAATATATTTTGTTTGTCTTGTCTAGGATTTTGATAGTTTGCACTTCGATGTATTATCTTTAGACAATGTAATGTGGTTGACGAAAGCATTTGGCCTTGACCTGTGATTACCAAAAACCCAAATATTTGAATTTACATGAATAATTTCATTTTCACAATTAAACTGGTTTATATTTCTACTTGCGTTTGCAAGACCTATTCATTGCGCTTTAGGGTATGGCACCCGCGTCATGACAATTAAACCTCATAAAATACATAGGAGCAAAACTCATAAGGCTATGTATTGTAAAGTCAAATATTTGTTTTTTTTTCGTAATTTTCACTTCTGTTCTCGTACTATGAACAACAAAATTGTTTATTTTGTAAAAAAAATTTCCGTACTTCATGTATACCTGACAACAAAATTATTTTTATTTACCTGTGTACGTGATTTTATTTGGCGGCATTTTGTCCAAGATAATGGTTGTCTTTCTGATATTGTTTTACAGCTAGCCCCCTTGTTTTATTAATTTTGTATTTACATTGTGTCATAGATCAAATATTCGTTCAGTGTATGTTCACTTGTTTTTGTTAATATGTCTTTTGTTTGAGTTAAGCCATTGCAATTGATATTTTATAGTGTGTCTTTCTATGTTGTGATTTACACTATTGTTTCAGGTTAGGGTGAAGGTTGGCGACTATTAAAACGTTTAAACCCGCTGCATTTGTTTGCACCTGTCCGAAGTCAGGAACCTGATGTTCAGTGGTTGTCGTTTGTTGATGTGGTTCATAAGTGTTTCTCGTTTTTTATATAGATTAGACCGTTGATTTTCCTGTTTAAATGGTTTTACACTAGTCATTTTGGGGCCCTTTATAGCTTGCTGTTCGCTGTGAGCCAAGGCTCCGTGATGAAGGCCGTACTTTGACCTATAATGGTTTACTTTTACAAATTGTGACTTGGATGGAGAGTTGTCTCATTGGCACTCATACCACATCTTCTTATATCTATTTGTAAGCTATTATTCATTGTGATATATTTAAACTAATCCTTATAATTTGATATTTAGCTAGAAATCGGGGTCATTGTATGCCCTTATCGAACTTACTCCTTTGTTGGTGTTTAATGCGACTTTCGCCACTATTGGCTATATCGTGGCTGTCAGTTTTGATTGGTGGAGGAAGCCAAAGTATCTGAAGAGGACAGGAAAACTGACAATCCAAGTCAATTAAAATTTGATTAAAATGCACATGCAATTTACAGAATTCGAACTCACAACCTTTGTATTGACATGCTAGTGGTAAGAATAGAAGGAAGGGCGTATAGACTACTGTTTTTGTAAGATCGTGTAGAAAAATTACACAATAAATAAGTTAAAATATTCAAGATGATTTACAAAAAATGCTTTCACACAAAAAATAAGAAAAAAGAAATGAGGGGATTCTTGTCCGATGTTCCTGTGGCCAAGAAGCTCATGTGCCAAATAGGATATAGTGAGGTTTATCGGAGAATCCAATAAAGCAAGTTATATACGAAAGTGATACGAAACGAAATCTAGAAAAATAGTACTTTTATTTTATTTTCTGTAGCGTAGACAAACGATTCCTATGCATAGTTGTGCAAGTAACTTCTGGTTTTTTTTACTCACAAGAAGATTTTATATTTCGACGAAGGGAGACATTATGTTGTTCTAGTAATTCGTCTTCTTGTATTTGTTTTCTTCTAAAAAAAACAACCTTTTTTCATCGTTTGACATTGGCTTATGAGTTTTGTGATGAAGTTGTATTACATATACCATGATACTATGTGAAACATATCATCGTGACGTTAATTAGACCCTAACATTTGGTTGACCTTGAATTCTGTTTCGTAATATATTTTGTTTGTCTTGTCTAGGATTTTGATAGTTTGCACTCCGGTGTATTATCTTTAGACAATGTATTGTGGTTGACGAAAGCATTTGGCCTTGACCTGTGATTACCAAAAAAAACCAAATATTTGACTTTACAATACATAGCCTTATGAGTTTTGCTCCTATGTATTTTATGAGGTTTAATTGTCATGACGCGGGTGCCATACCCTAAAGCGCAATGAATAAGTCTTCCAAACGCAAGTAGAAATATAAACCAGTTTAATTGTGAAAATGAAATTATTCATGTAAATTCAAATATTTGGGTTTTTTGAGAACAGAAGTGAAAATTTATCGTCATACTAAACACTTATCAAAGGTGGTAAATATTAAAAATAGTGAGACGAGTTATAACACTAAATAAGTAAACATTAAATAACAAAAATACATTACAAATTGTATCAACAGGTCAAATAACACTACGATTTGAGAGTGCTCGCAGTTACTGAAAGTTAGTTAAAAGCTAAAAACAATTAATCATACAACATCATGCATCAGAGACTAAAATCAACTAAAACACATCCCAGGGATTTTGTGTTTTAACGTCATGGACAGTCAAAGAAGACATGACGTGTGCAATGCCAAAATAAAAGTATCAACAGGCAGTAGAACAGTTAGGAGTTAACCTTTTAATTAATATAATGTTATATATAGATAGAGTAATCTCTATATAGAAAATGAACGTGGATGTGTATTTATGCATCCCAAAAAAACGTTTGAAAAGAATACACATTTAGTTATGTTTTAATTTGCTGATGACAAAATCGATATTTGTGCCAATGTAAACTATATTCAAAGATCTTATTACAACATTGGCAAGATAACCTTAACTAATAAGTTTGTTTAAAGGTTCGATGAGTTTACACAGATCGCATAGTGCTTTCCGCGCTTTTAGTACAATATTACCTTTAAATTTAGGATGTGAAATACCGTTTTTGATAAGTTTTCTACAAGTACACCCAAATTTACTAATCAAATCTTTGTATCTATGAAAGAATTTAGTAAAAGTTTTAAGTAATTTATGGTAACAAAATCCCTGACTTAATAATTTACCAGTGATGCATTGATTACGTTCGTTAAAATCTATGACATCACTACACACACGGGCATAACGAACGAGTTGGGATATATTAACACCGTATGATGGAGCCAAAGGAACATCGCCGTATAAAAAAGGAAAATTAACAATAGGGAATGAAAAATCGTCTGTTTTGTCGTAAATTTTAGTATGGAGTTTCCCTTTAGAAATTGAAATGTTTAAATCTAAAAATGGACAACTACTGCTGTTTATGTTAGATTTATTTAAAGTAAGTTCCTTTGGGTAAATTTCGGTAGTATATTTAGAGAACTCTGGATTATTTAACGAAAAAATATCATCCAGATAACGGTAGGTATTGTTGAATCAACCAAATGTACCAATGACGTGCCTTTACTGAGTTTGGTCATAACCTGAGATTCATAGCAACACAGGAATAAATCTGCTATTAAAGGGGCGCAGTTAGTGCCCATAGGAATACCTACTACCTGTCGATACACTTTATCGCCGAAACGTACATATATGTTGTCCAGGGGAAAATTTAAAGCTTCAATCATATCTTCACATTTCCAGTAAGTGTATCTAGCATACTTTCCTTTTTCGTTACAGAAAAAGGCTTTAAACGAGTTACAGCAAATACATTTGCAATGAGATTTTTCAAAAGACCATTTAATTAAATATGAAAACTTTTTCTTGATAAGATTGTGTGGAAGTGTAGTGTAGAGAGTAGAAAAATCATAACTGTCAACAGAATTAAAAGGACCATCAAAAGCACGTATTTTATCTAAAACCTCTAAAGAATTTTTAACACTTTAAAAATAATTAATACCATTATTTTATGACTATATTCTACAAATATGAAATTTGTTAGTCACTGGTGGATAGTTGTTTCATTTGCAATACAAACCACACCTCTTTGTCTTAATATCATTTAAGTCAGACGATAGTTTGAATAATGTGCCAGATTATTGTTTGAACTGTTTCCTTGTGAATCATAAGATGATCTGCTAAACGACGACTTAAAGTGTCATCTTGCAGATTTATTTGGATTTTATCTATTTTACATATAACATATTATCGTCTGAATATGCATGAAATATTGGTTGATGGACGTTAGTCAACAATTCTTATTATCTTAGATTTCCACCAATAAAAAAGATCCGAAGGCCTAATTAGAGTTTTCTATTTCTTGTTTTTTGTTTTAACATATCAAAATCTAAAAACGCGAACAGTTTCGTTTTTTGTTTTTCGTTCTTTGATTGCTAAAAACCAAAAACAGAATGGATACAATTATACATGAATTACCCTGAACTATCTGTTTGTGTACAATTTACTCCATATCTTTTCCATATATTTTGAGTTGAGAACAATTATCCTTTACTACAAAAGGGATGATGTTAGCTTCTCAATTATGAAATTGCTATGTCTATATAGACTCATTCATACATCGCCTGCATACGGAGTAGAAATCGCCCAATTGTTAAGATCTTGTGTTTCCTATCTTGTTTTCTGAATAAAGGGTTTTTGCATAGAAGGAAGCAAGTGGTTAAGTTGATGTCAACCTTACAATCAAGAGTTGATAGACCGTTATGGAATATCTTTGTTACAAATAACCATGTATATGTTCACAATCCCGTCTTTTTTCAACGATTGAAACATTTTGGTTTGATGGAAGCTAATATGGCACATACCTTGACTTCAGTAATAAAGATATCAACAAGTTATTATTTTATTCATTTTAAATAAGAACAATTACTTCTGATTTCAAAGTATCATCCTCTATATCGGTAACTTCCACCGTGATATTTACCGCCATGCCCACTGTGCTGTAAATACAAATTCATGTATATTTTAAGTCAGTTGTGTTGTATGTCTGTGATGCATGTTTACACATTTTTGGCTTTTGTATCCAAAGTATTGTCATATTTACCAATTATGTTTGCTTGGGTTGCTCACCCAATTGTGTCTATATAACTATAAACAAATGGCTTCGCTAGCTTTAAAACCAGGTTTAACCCACCATAAATATTTGTTGGTCCTGTTAACAGGAAATATCTTTAAAACTTGTCATTTTCTCCTTACTAGATTTACCACTAAGATTCATGCTGATATGGAATGGTCAGTGTTATGGGATCTTACGCAATTCGATTGGATAAATTCAATATTGATTGACCTTTACGGGTTTATTTGTCGAAATTTGTCATGGGCGTCATATTTCAAAACTGGAAATGTTATTAGATACCAATAAATTTTAATAACGAAAGGGATGGACATTCTACGTTAGAGTTAATCAAGAAATAATGAAATTACTTTTGTTTGTCGGTTAACTATAATAGTTATGATCGTATTTCTAAAATAGCATTTCTGAGTTGTATCATTTATGTCATTATTCATATTTATCCCAAAAAAAACAAGTGAGGAAATGACGTCAAAAACCGTCGATCAGCCTATTTGTTAACATAAAGATTTCAATTTGAACATTAATTTTAAAGGTAGTTTTTATCTTCCTGACAAAATTTAGTCATACACTATAATAATTTGATATAGCATCAGCACCTTTTAAAACATTTTTGTTTTGTTTTTAATAGGAGTTTAAAAACGTCATACTGATGCAAAAACAGATAAATTTATCCGTTCAAGTTTATTGTTGTATTATTTGTTTCTCTATTATATATTACTGTTGTATTCATGTTGATATTTGTGTGTATCTATTCCAAACATTTTATTATATTCGGAGCATTAAGAGGCTGACAAACCTTAAACACACTTGAATACCGTGTGACATATATATTTATTGTCTTTTGTTGCTGGATAGCTTTCACATTCGTGGGTATTATTCATAGTATTGAAATCCACATATTAACAGATGAGAAAGTTGTTATTGACAAAAGTTAAATCTTTTCATATAAACTAAGATAAAGAAAGAATAACATATTTTATCAACATATTTAAAAACATGTCACTGACTACAAATTCATATAATTTAAATTAGAATATAATAAGCAGGTGTATTCCGTATAATGAAAAGAAAACAATTTTCCGAAATCCTAGAATAGATAAGAATAGTTCCATAATGGAATTTGATGCAACTGTCATACAAGTGAGAGGTTTAGCTAGCTATAAAACCAGGTTCAATCCACCATTTTCTACATAAGAAAATGCCTGTACCAAGTCAGGAATATGACTGTTGTTATCCATTCGTTTGATGTGTTTGAACTTTTAATTTTGCCATTTGATTGGGGACTTTCCTTTTTGAATTTTCCTCGGAGTTCAGTATTTTTGTGATTTTACTTTCCACTTACCCCTCCACCAGAATGTCCTCCACTAGAATGACTTCCTTTATACGCTTTATATCCTTTCCTATATTTTCCAGAGGCAGCTGTAATTATCATTATATTGAATAAATAATCTATGTTTATCATCAGAGTCGATGCATACAATAGTCGACTGATAACTCATTTGCTTTCTGAGTACAACTTCATTCAACAGAAACTGTGGGAACATTATTCGTTTTTTAAAAACTATTTCCATACAAGTCTCAAATGAGATCTTTACTTGGGGAGGGGGATAGGTTTGGTAGGTTTTTTTAAAAATATCTTTATGTTCTGAAAAGCGCATTTTAAAAATAACAAAAAACAAAAAGAGTTTTGAGACATAAAAATTATCAAAACCTTTGAAAAATTAGTAAAAATTTCTGTACAAAAATTAATTAAAAATTTGCCTTAACTATGTATAAGTATTGTTTTTTGCATTTTCATGTTTAAATTGATATATTCTGAACTTAGATGAACGTTTACATTATATATCTTTATTCCAGCTTTGTTGATATTCACTGAAAATTCGTCAGTTTAGGCACATTGTAGGTAACTATTTTGTATTATTTGCAAAAACCAAAATTTTTTAATTGGACAAAAAGGGGAAAAATATCAAGTAGCAAACAAATACTACAAAGCTTCGATGAAAGATGGATAACACCAAGGCTAAAGGAAGGATAAAAGCATAACACATAAAACTAAATTCTAGGCAAAGCCCCAATTTGAAGCCCGGCATTCAATACCATTGCTGCTGCATTTTTCTACTTACCAACTGGCATTGTAACTGATGCTACCATCAACAAAGCAACAAGGACTATGATTCCGAATACCTTCATGATTGTCTGTAAAACCTGTCTTTAAACACTTCACTGTGACGATTATAGTGAGGATGACGAGGAGTATGATTCAGGACTAGTTTATATATCCAGTGCGATAGAAGCAGCTGGTTGGTACATATAAGTTATTACAGGACCTTTCTATTGTTTCAGCATGTTTAACAACGTTTGTTTAAAATGTTAAAACCATAGCAATGAACATTCTGCAATATGCATTGTGCCAGTATTTGCATATAACATGGCTTAAGTTGTATGAAGACGTTATATTTAACTTACGGCGTGTGTTAAAATTAATCAATTAATCTGTTTATATATAGAAATTTAGTTACCAGAGCTTTTACATTTTTCAAGGATTTTTATTTACTTCTAACTTCATTTATTTATTTCCTTAATTTTAATTTAAACAACGGCTATCATACTACGTCGATATGAATGTTTCAAGTAGTTACCCTAAGGATGATTGCAACAATATTTTGTGTTTATTAGCTAAATCGTTCCAGAGAAAAATATGTTAAGAAATTAATTTTGAATTATCATGTTGATAAGGAAACCTTAGATCTCATATTGTGTCCATATTGTACAAGTGGCGGGATTGTTAACAATTTTTTCAAACAAATTCATATTAAGGGCATACAATACAGTTTCGATCCCACGGTGAATAATTGACGAAATTTTGCATACAAGCTATTTTTCATCTAGTCATTCAAATATGTTATAAAAAATATACCTTCATGTGCTACTTTTAGAGATAAATAGGATAGAATTTTTTTTTACATTTACTCAAAATTTCAGTTTCTTGGACGTATCTATCCTCTGGACAAATATACATAACTTTTTTGTTTCAAAAGATAAACAAAAGCGGATTTAAAAAAAAAAGATTTAGAATATCTTCTCTACATTAATATGCTCTAATTTGTTGTATCAATTCTTTGACCTGTTTTTTTTGGCGCTAGAAATAATAAATAGAAAGCATACGCATTGATACTCTGGATAAGAATACGCATTTGCGTCATCACAAATATTAATCTAGGCTCAAGTCTAATGTTTCTAATAGTTTAATTTTGATGTTAAACTACATACCTGAAGTGTTTTGACTTCGGATTCATTGCCATTTAATCCGGAATTTGTGTGAACGCAAACCGATAGTGTGTCGTGTGAACAGGGTGGTATATAATGTAAATGAACCAAGACGTGTAGGATAGCTGGTCAACACAATGCATACAATTTTCAAAATCGTACCATATTGCAAATATTTAGATGCTATAAGGTTGAACTATTAATAAAAAAAAAAGAATTGAAATTTAATAATTAACATTCATTCCTGTTAATGAATCTTTTAAAAAAAAAATAGAATATAATATCAATAAATACAAACGTCAAGTATGAACATTTTATTTATCAAATCAATCTCTAAGTCTAACTTTCCACCATATGAATATATTGCTATACAAAATAAAAGCAGAGACTAATAAATCCATACTAAAACAGTATAAAATAATTAACGTAGTAATTACATTTTTAAAGATTATTGTAAAATATTAACTATGTTGCAAGGATTGAAAAACAGGCCTTGTGAATTGAAACCATGCATATATTTTATCATTCACTACTGTTTAAAATTTAGATACTAACTTATGTGTATGCATACCTGCTTATTGGTGCTCATATGTTGCATGTGATTTTCATAAATGTATTCACTGTTGAAACCTGCGGGACATAATACTCGTAAATGTATAATATTTTTAATTATATTCTATTAAGGATAAATTAAATCTCAGTTTAAACTTATAATTGTAATGAACATTCTCTTGGTCTGGCAGTATCTATTAATGAAATTAAATGTTTTTGACAGCAAAATCCTTTGTTTAATTATTTTTTTTGCCTTCCGACCACTGTATAACAGAAATATCGTTTTGTTAATTTTCTTCATGCTTTCCGACATTTTCTTAGGCTATGATTGTAATACAAAATATCACGTGATAAACTTTCAGAAATAATCAGTTTATTCTGGGACATTATATATTAATAAACTATTCCAAGGTTTATTGTCACAATGCACAACAGCACGCTGTATTAAATACTACACACACAACGCGTACAGGGCCCGTCCTTAAAGCATAAATTATATAATTGCGTTATCATTATACTTGATATTTGATAAACATTCGCATTATTAAAAACACATATGTTTTGTCAAAAGGCGAATTGGTTCTAAAATATAACTGATTTTTTTACTGCAACCTAGTCTTTGTTTTCTTTTATCCGATCTACAAATGAACTTTGATTATTTAAATATACAATGTCACGTTGTAGCCTATGCATAGAAGGACCGTATCAAAGACATAAATAACTACCTGTAAAAATGATCGAAAATTTTCGAGAGGTTCCGAGAATCTTGATTCCGGGAATATCCAAATGGCCCATAGATGCTACCAAAACTCACCAATATATAGGCATGGACCCCTTAGGGGGTTCACGCAAAAAAAAAGGGTAAAATAAACTATGATAAACAAAACACACTAAAGATAGGATACTCACGCGTTATTGCATATTTTTATTGTTACTTGTTTTGTTTGACTCAATCTTTAATTAAGAAGGAAAAAAAAGTTAGTAACCTGTTAAAAATTACACAAAAAGGGCCTTTATATTTTTAGTAGAGTAAGTCTATTAATGCTT